CCCACCCACCCATCCACCCACCCACCCCTGCAGCTCCTTACCAAGATATATTGTTAAAGCTGAGGAACAGACGCTGGAGGCAGGGCAGAGCGTTCACATCTTTCTAGAAAGAGACAGAAGGAGGGGGAGAGAGAATTAGCTCATTCCAGCATCCAAGGACGGAGAGCATGCTTCCAAGCCGGCGCTCCTTCTGGAGGGTGGAACATGCCTCCTGCGATTTACTGTAACCTTGCCGCCGCATCCAACGCTGCCGAACATGTGCCTGCCATCCCTCTTACAGCACAGCTTTGGGAAGGAGGGCTTCGGACCTTGGAAAACACGACTGTGCTTCTCGCAAGGGGAAGGGCGTTCAGAAAAAAAGGGGAGAGAGAAAGAAAAAGAGCAGGTGGCCGTTTCTGGCCTCTGTTCCAGGCCGGCTCCACTCGAGACGCTATCTCAGCATTTCAGCTGCAAGGGGCGGGGGGGGGGGGGCGAAGGGGAGGAGAAAGCATGCGGCAATCCTGCCAAAGACAAACGTGGGTTTCCGTCACAGGGCTGCTCTCTCGCAGCCTCAAAGTGCCGACTCATGCATGTAATCGCCCCAGCCGGTGGGAGGGTGGCTTTCCGCATCGTCAGATGACTTCAGGAGCGGAAGGCCGGCCATAGAAGGCAGCTTAGGGACGCACTTCAAAACCAGGGTGTGTGCCCCCCCCGCCGCCCAAAAAATGATTATCCGTTTGGAGCGTGGCGGTTATTAGCTTCAGGAAGCTTTTGGGACTGGCTGTAATGTGTCACAAGGCACGCAAGGTGTTTGCTAGAGTTGGAAATCCCCCCCCACACACACACACATACAAATACAGTTAGAGAGAATCTGCACCTAGATTCAGGGCTTTTTTTCTCGGGGGATGTGCCGGAATGGAGTTCCGGACCCACTTCGGCAAAATCCTTTTTAAAATGTTATAAAAGTTCGGGAGTTTTCAGTATACTGATTGAAAGCTTCAGTTTCAGTTTAGTTTATTGTAATTAGCCATCGGCTGTTACAAAATTGCAAAACACAAATTGTGAACAAGCTATAGGTTAGACTCAGAATATACGAAAATACCAAAGATGAGTAACAAAATATGACTAATTTAATACGGTAGCCTAAACAATGTCCCTTCCCGACGCCACCTTGGAACGTATATTCTTTGCAGCAAGAGCAAATAATGAAACTTTATAAGAGGCATATGCATCAATGTCAGTTAACAAAAATCAAAAATTTTCCTCAACTGGGTAAGCACTAAGACCAGATAAAATACCTGCTAAAAATTTAGCCCTCGGACTAGAATACAATGGGCAAAAGAGAATATAATAAGGTAAATCCTCAAGTTTGTGGGTACCACAAATACATAGACGATGGGCCAATGGAGTTTGATGTAATTGGCCCTCCAAAATTGCTGTTAGCATTGATTGGAACCGTAGAAAGGTGAAGAAGAAGGAGGAGGAGGAGGAGGAGGAGGAGGAGATTGGATTTATACCCTGCCCTTAACTACCTGAAGGAGTCTCAGAGAGGCTTACAATCTCCTTTCCCTTCCCCTCCCTACAACAGACCCCCCGTGAGGTACATGGGGCTGAGCTTGGAACGTGTGTTCCCTGCAGCAAGGGAAAATAATGAAACTTTATAAGAGACATACACATCAATGTCAGATAACAAAAATGAGATTTTTTCCTCAACTGGGTAAGCACTAAGACCAGATAAAATACCTGCTAGAAATTGAGCCCTCAGACTAGAATAAAAAGGGCAAAAAAGAATATAGTGAGGTAAATCTTCAAGTTCTTGGGTACCACAAATACATAGACGATGGGCCAAAGGAGTTTGATTGAATCAGCCCTCCAAAATTGCTGTTGGCATTGATTGAGACCGTAGAGAGGTAAAGGACATTCTGAGTATGTGTTTAGAGATATTAACTAAGTACGGAGTTCTAGTGTGGACTGAAAACTTCATTTCCCTCTGGAGGGTTCCGACACCTCTTTATCCAAAACGGGGGGAGGCAAGGGGAGCCCTGCCTAGATTGGACTTCATTCATAAGTTCAGAACCATGGACTCTGCAGAGCTGAATAGGGACACAGGATTCGGATCTCATTACTTTCGGGGGTGCAAACCTTTGAGCGACAAAGTCCCCTTCGTCAGACCCAAGTTGGAACGGAGATCCCTGAGCCCTTATATCCCAAGTCGGAAGGCGGGAGGATTGTTCCAAAGAAGGGACTCAAGATGCAGAGGCACACATTCAGAACGACGGACCACCACCCCCGCCTGCCCAAGCTGAATAGGGACACAGGACTTTTATCTCACT